CTGGCATTGCATGTCCCTTGCAGGTTACACATCCTGGCATTGCATGACCCTTGCAGGTTACACATCCTGGCATTGCATGACTCTTGCAGGTTACACATCCTGGCATTGCATGACCCTTGCAGGTTGCACATCCTGGCATTGCATGACCCTTGCAGGTTACACATCCTGGCATTGCATGACCCTTGCAGGTTACACATCCTGGCATTGCATGACCCTTGCAGGTTACACATCCTGGCATTGCATGACCCTTGCAGGTTGCACATCCTGGCATTGCATGACCCTTGCAGGTTGCACATCCTGGCATTGCATGACCCTTGCAGGTTGCACATCCTGGCATTGCATGACCCTTGCAGGTTGCACATCCTTGCATTGCATGCCCTCTCCAGATGGTTTATTGTGTACATTTAACTGACCCTTACATAGGACCTTGGTGCACATCAATTTGTTTTTCAGATAAGATTCAAAATGGATGACTGGCGGCTATTTTTAGTCCCCGTTCGGACGAAGTCCGAAAAAAGGGCTTATAATTCAGTCTCCGCCCATCTGTGCGTCCGTTCGGAGTCATTTCTCAGAATCCCTTGGACCGATTCCATTAATTCTTTGCATGTGCCTAGTACTTTGTGGGACATATGCACATGCAGTGGTTTAGCTATTCAATTCAAAATGGACGACTGGCAGCCATCTTGTTTTTTGAAAATGTTGTATTTTGGACATGCTTTGTCAGTTTTCATTCAAATTTAGTACATAGATCATACATGTTAGGATACATGTCCATGACGATTTATTTCGCAATTTGATCAAAATGGTCGACTGGCAGGCATCTTGTTTTTGTTTTTTTATGCGGTTTCTTGGACGTGCTCTGTCAGTTTTCATTCAAATTTGGTACATACATGTACTTTACACATGTTAGGATGCATGTCCATGACAATTTGTTTCAAAATCTGGTCAAGGATGGCCAATTGACAGTCATCTGACTTTTTGGCCTTACTACTATATTTCCACAATTTATGTACCATTTTCATTTGTATTTGGCACATACATCATGCATATCAGTGTGTTTCATAATCAGATCAAAGATGGCCGAATAACGACTGTTTTTATTTTTGGCCATCTTACTACTATACGGAACACGTGTTTTGATGTAAATAAACAATCTGTTGTATTGAAACTCAAGTTTCAAGGACACGCTTGCGACAACCCCTTCGCTTTAATATGATGAGCACCAAGAGAACTTTCAAAAATTTAACGGGGACTGTGTCATTTTCAATGACTTGTTTTAATGAATGTGGTTTTAGTGCCATATCTCTGACTTGCTTTGATTGATTATGTTAAAATTTTATACCGCTATATTCATTATACATGTATTCAAAATGGCTGATGTTGTTTTAATTAATGCTGTTCCAAAGCAATATCTGATATAAATGTCAATCATTTAAATGTTAAACAATCATCATCATCATATTCCTGACATGTTTGTTTCAGCTATATTACTATAAACAAAACTATATATCTTAAATTTGACAATTAACTGGGACTGTGCCATGCATGGCTTGTTATATATTTCAGGTTCAATGGATGCTATGAATAAAACACGCCATATATTAGGTGAAGGTGGTGCTACATTTAATAATGCCTTTGTGACAACTCCGATGTGCTGTCCATCTCGAAGTACAATATTAACAGGACTTCACACACATAATCATAATGTGTATACAAATAATGAACACTGTGGTTCTTTGAGCTGGAGAAGAGGACCTGAAACAAAAACATTTGCAACATTTTTGAAAGATAATACTTATAGAACAGGTAGGTTGCCATAATTTTACATAGAATGTTAGAAAGCCATGAACACTTACTCTAATACTTTCAAGATGTATGTAACAGTATTTATATAGGCAGTGTGTGCACACTGAAATTGACGCAAGAACGAGTGCACATGTGCACACTTTACATCTAGGCACAGCACTGTTTATATCTAAGTCCAAGCAAATCTGTGCATGGGTGGCATTGTGCATAATAAATTACCCCAGACATTACATATGCAATTGGAGTTGACATTTCATTCATTAGCAAACGAATACACAACCAAACAATATCAAGTGTCTCTCGTTGTACCAATCCCTTCTCACGTTGTACCAATCCCTTCTCTCGTTGTACCAATCCCTTCTCACGTTGTACCAATCCTTTCTCACGTTGTACCAATCCCTTCTCATGTTGTACCAATCCCTTCTCATGTTGCTTCAATTTGTTAACATATTGTAATGTTTTTCATTTTACATGCAGGGAATGCTTTGAATCTACTAAAATATACATTAACAGCGTTTTAATTTATTTCAGGTTATTTTGGTAAATATTTAAATACCTATAATGGTACATATATACCACCAGGATGGATGGAATGGGTCGGATTGGTTCACAACTCCAGATTTTATAATTATACTATCAATAGAAATGGCAAAAAAATTCGAATGAAAAATGACTATTACAAGTTAGTATTCTAAATTCTGATCGAGGGTTGCCAAGTACATGTAAATATTATGATAATGTTCCATCTAATCTCAATCTAGCTATCTGATTGGCTGAAGCAAAGTCTTATAGCTGGCACGAGAAGACCTGTTACATTCCGCCCTGAGACTGAATAATCTGGCCTAAATATCTAACTGAGTCGTAATCTCTTTTATATAGTGATTGCAGGTGTACAGTGAAATAGTATACAGGAAAACCTGTAATATTATGAATTATTTTTGCTTAAAATGTGAATATTATTGTGCATTTTGCAAGAAAACTCCTTGTAAGGAACATGCAAATTTTTTGCTACAAAGTGTTCATCCGGTTTCACGTCTGTTTTCTTAACATGCGAAAAAATCATTACTCACATAATATTGTACAGTCGGTATTACTACCAGTTCATAGAAATATACAAAATTTATGTTGATTTTGTCTTCGCTGGCCTCGTCCGTGGTCTTGTCCATCTATGTGCATGTTCTATTTAGGGCTTTTTCGCTCTTGAATTGGAATACAAAATCTAGAACACTTACTACAATGCTGATATTAAAATGCTGGTTTACACAAATAAATCCCAAACTCAATGCAGAAATTATTATTTAATGCGATGTAGTGAAAATTAGGGTACTGATATTATGTTTTAATGAAATAGAATCACACTTAATCAACACGCACAATAATAGTATAATCTAAGAAAGGACGTTTGGGGAGTGGAAGATTCTATTTTGTGTTTTTTGTCATTCATAAATTTTTAAACTGCATGATTTTTTGTTGATAACCAAACATTTAATGATATCTTGAGTGGCAATATCATGTTTTCTCAGTTTAAAATAAGAAATCAATACTTTTTATTTTTGCAGAGATTACTTGACAGATCTGATAGCCAATGATAGTGTCACATTCTTCAAGTTATCAAAACAAGTTTATCCAACGCGACCTGTAGCAATAGTGTTATCAATGCCAGCACCCCATGGACCTGAAGATGCAGCTCCACAGTATCAGCATATGTTTTCTGGAGTCATGACACATAGGTGAAATTTGTATAGTTGTGAATTATTCCTCGGTCTGTCGTTTTACTCTAAAATTTAAGATTGCATATTATTCTTATGTAATAGATAAGACCAACAACAAATATAGTGTAACCATTACAATCTTAACCATATTACTAGTAGTATATTGCTGACATCTGGTCAGCAGTGTAGATGTATTCAGTTAGTGCACTCATTTCTATGTTTAACAAACCATATTATGAAAATTATACATTAGTCACAAAAAAATTGAACTTTGTTGACATTTTATAGTGATTAATAATATTTCCAAGCTTAAAGATGAAAAGATAAAAATTGTAACCATGCAAAGACAATTTTATGTGAAATGTCACCAATATCTTGAGTACTGTACATACAAGACATACACGTACTTCAGCTTCCTAACTGGTATAAATTATGCAATATTGGATTGGATAAAAGTTTATTGTAATATAATTCAGACAAGGTGAAAAATAATGTTTTCTCGTCAGGGTGCATTTTGCCTTAAAAAGCCTGCTCAAGACTTTTTTTCAGGTTTCTGCAAAAATATTGTAAGTATGAAATAAGAACAAATCAGAAGTAATATTTTTGACTAGAATCTAAATATTTGTTTAAATCTAGCAAAAACCTTCAGACAGTGTAGCATAATTTACCAATCATTCTATTATGTAGGACTCCAACATGGAATATAGCCCCCAATCATGACAAGCACTGGATTTTTCAATATACTACTAAAATGGAACCACAGCAGATTGCATTTACAGATATTTTACAACAAAAAAGGTTACAAACATTATTATCTGTTGATGATGCTGTAGAAAAGGTAAAGAAAATCTCTGAATGTTATTTGTAAAATTCTCATCTTTAAATGCACCTTTCATATAAACACTATAGAGAACATTTCAGGCCTTACCCAAGGAAGTATAGTCTAGTTGTTTACAGTTCAGTATGGAGTAGTTAACTCCAAGTAAATAAGTTGCACATCACATTATACATTTCAAAGCTGATTAACAATATAAATGAAGCCACACTGTAAGCTGCCAATATCAACTAAATGTACCAAACAAATTAGTTATATGACAACACAGGACACCACATGTGATACAGTCATGAAGACACATTCCATGTGACGTTACATTTCGATTGAAGAAGTACAACATTCACAAAGTTTGAATATTTTAAATAATTAGTGGAAAAGTGAGAAAAAAACTGACTGACTGAATAAATAATTTTATGTAGAAGAAAAACAAAGTTTTAGTTCATTACACAAAGAAATAAACATTGATTACTTTAAGTGTTTCTGCATGTATGGCTATCATTACAAATCACTGTTTTATGGAAATAATGTCCAAAATGGTTAGAAATGTTAAGGCATGTATAAATTAATGTTGGCATTTGTGTTACAAAACATGACAGAAAATGTACCTAATTCAGATTTTTGTTAAAAACACACTAAAAATCTAAAAAAAATCTAAAATATGTTTGTTTATATTTTTATCCTTTATTTTTTAGGGATAATAAAACTCAAAGCCAAATAGTGCATTTTAATTTCATATTTCCACCAGATGGCGTATGAACCAACTTTGCATTTAGAAAGGGGGATAGTTCATTTTGCCCCAGTGCCCTTCTATCTTTCTGCTTGTGTTCACAATATTTTCTCAGAAATTATACCATAAATAAGAGAGAAAAATCTTCCCGAATGGCTGTTCATATATTTCTATGTAGGAGGCACACTTGAATTCATATTATGTGCAGATAATTTCTCATTACCTGTCCACAATCTCTACAGTTGGTGGTGTATATATTAGTCATGGTATAGTACCTCACAGATTTGTGAAGTAGAAATGCAACTTTAATTCCCAACATTCATGTATCTTGTCTTTTTTTGTTTTGTTTTTCAGTCGTACAATATGTTGAAAGAGATGGATGAACTGGACAATACTTTTATAATTTTTACATCAGATCACGGCTACCATGCAGGTCAATTTGGTCTTGTTAAAGGGAAGTCCATGCCCTATGATTTTGATATAAGGGTTCCATTCTATATACGAGGGCCAAATATACCTCCTGGTATTCAGTAAGTTTGCATCAGGTCACACCTGATATAAATACAATTTTATTTATTCTTAGTAAGATAATTAGTGCTGATTTTGCATATACTGTTTTGCTCTTGCCTATCTCCAATAGAAGTACATATAAAACAAAAATCCTTTACTAAATCATTAAAATACTACTTATTTTGACTATAGATACACCTGAAATTTACATATCGCCAGCACTATTTATAGATCAAATATGGTACTAAAAACTGTTACACTGGAAACTTAAAAAAAAATTAAATATCATAGAAGAAAATTATGAGATGATGATAAAAAGTGATACTTTTGACAGATTGCTTTGATATTTTATATATATATACTTTTTAGGTACTTTCATTTTGTGATGATATCTTCAATTGTTTTATTGAAATGTGCATTGCTAACAGTAGAGCTATCTCAGCTGTTGCTGACATACAATGACTGGTCATTCCTACACCATGTCATTTGAGTCATGTTCTTATTCAAAATGGCCGACTTATTGAACCAACTAGGACATGTTTATTCATAATGGCATTAATCTCATAATAATATGTGAAGATAATAAATAATCCAATACAAACCTCTTAATATATGCAACATAGCTGAGATAGTCGTACATTTTAGTTGGAAATGAGTGCTATTACTTTATTTATATATGAAAGCACACTATTATGGAATCAATAAAAGATTTCACAATAGATTGGTGTACTTGCGTAGGTACAGCACAGTGAATGAGTTAAACAGTTTGTTTTTATGGCTCTTGTGTGTCCATACATTCTTATGTTCTACCTATATGTTTAAAAAATTGTTTTATGCTAACGATAAAGAACCATTGCTAAGAACATCTAGCTATTTTGAATAGTTACTTAGGAAAAATCATCAAATATTATCTACTACATTTTAAATTTCCAAAGCATAAAACTAACATCACCAAATTAACATGTTCCAATTAAGATACAGCTCAATTATCGCAGAATTGACATTGAGAAAATTGAATAGAAATATTACATTCACAATTTACAATGACAAAGAAACATATTTATCTAATTGAACTGATTTATATAATGTTTCCTGACTGAAGATTTAACTTGCTTGTTTGCCTGCCTGTTGAATACACGGCTTGGAAATCTTGTGTACACTGTAGCTCTGCCTAGCTAGCTCTGCCAGTAAAAACAAAATTATTTGAAACAAACACATCTCTCTCTACATTGGGGGGGGGGACTGCCATGTTCTGATATACACTTTATTTGTCAAAATGTACCAAAACAGAGTAAATAATATTAACAACTACCAGCTGTTCATGTTGCAATTCAAACCCATGTCCTCTGTGACACCTATACATTCAGAAACACCAAGTCCTCATAGATATCTGGTTTTTTAGACAAAAAAAATGTAAGTTTCTTGTAATTGTGATTTTGACCCTCTATAGTTGAGACAAGTTTTTATATTTCTAGTTTGTTTTTGACACTGGGGCGCTGTTACAAAAATCATGGTCACTGATTGGCTAGTTCAGTTCAGTTCAGTTCAGTTGGAGTTGAGAAATATATGCAAGTTGCATTATTTGTGTTGGAGGTGAGAATTTTTTTTCCATCTTTCACTACAGAATTCCTAACATCATATTAAATGTTGACATAGCGCCAACAATACTGGACATGGCTGGCATCCCAATACCACAAGAAATGGATGGAAAATCAGTATTAAAACTGTTATTCAATGGTACCAGGTTAGTCACTATTATACACATCTCCTTATAGAATTGTTTATCTGGACATGAAGTGTACACTGTGTAGAGTTACAATGTATCCACTCATATGGTGTAACAATTCTTTTTCCAGTGATCACTAAAAAAAAGCTGCTTCAGATGAACAGTTGAATAGTGTGAACAATAATTTCAACATGAAATTATCATAAGCTTGCAGGAACAATGTTCCTTTCATTTGTATTTTTCAGAGGAAGGTCAGGGGACAAAAAGAAAAGACAATGGAGAGACACTTTCCTGGTTGAGAGAGGGTAAGCACATTATCTAGTAACAACACACCTTTCCTCTGAACGGAAGAGTCTGCATGTGATTCAATTTCATTTAAATAGTGAATTCAGAAATAATTGGTAACCTTTATTAGAAGAATTAACGCTTTTTGACTCCCGTGTGCGAAGCACAAAAAGGGAGTCTTTGCAGTGTGTGTGTGTGTGTGTGTGTGTGTGTGTGTGTGTGTGTGTGTATGTGTGTCCGACTGTTCCACTACTATCTCAAGAACCATACATCGGTTTTTGATGAAACTTGGTGCATAGATGCTCTGGGCCAATGAGCAGATTTGATTAGGTTTTGGTAAAAATCCATGCATATTAAGTACCTAATTTGCATGATAATTAGCTGATTTTTAGCTGTTCCATGACTGTTCCACTGATATCTTAAGAACCACTCATTGGATTTTGATGAAACTTGGCACACAGATGCTCCAAACTAATGCGCAGATTTGATTAGTTTTGGGTAAAAATCAGTGCAATATTAATTAACTAATTTGCATAATGATTAATCAATTTTCGGCTTGTCCACTGATATCTCAAGTACTAATCATCACATTTCAATAAAACTGCACAAACCTGATAGTTTTTAGGGTAATGTCAGTTTATATTAATTAGCTAATTTGCATAATTAATTTTCAGCTTTTGATATTTCAAGTAGTAATCACATTTCAATGAAATTTGGTACATAGATGTCATAGGACACTGCACAGACCTGATAGTTTTCAGGGTAATATCAGTATATATTAATTAGCTAATTTGCATAATTAATTAATTTTCAGCTTTTGATATTTTAAGTACTAATCATCACATTTCAATGAAACTTGGTACATTGTTACTTAAGGACTGTGCAGAGACCTGACTAGTTTTTGGGTAAATATTTGTGCATATTAATCACCTTATTAGCATACAGTACTCATTCCGCTCAACCTCCCGCTTTTATCGCTTTTTTGCCGACCGCTTATCGCTTAATTTCCGACCGCTCGCTGCTTTCCGACCGGAAACCGACCGCTTTTTTTCCGCTCGCTTGCGTTCGCTTTTGTTCGCTCGCTCGCGTTCGCTTTTGTTCGCTCGCTCGCTCCTGCTATGGCTGGCTTCAGAAACATCGTCCCCTTGCCAACCGACCTCTGAAGTAACAATGATCGTACATTGTATGTATAAACTTAAGTTTTTATTTGTAATAAATTTAGGTTTTAATGACGATTCAAAACACAACGCCTATTGCTTCTCTGTGTCGGAACAAAGACGCCTTCAAATCACTTGACACATTGTAACGTTTGCTCCGCAAGTCGAACTGTGACCTGTATTTACATATTTACGTCCTTGTGTGTGTAGTTCAACTATATAACTGGTCAATCGCGATATGTATTGAGTACTAGTATTTGTGTGTTGTGTGTGTGTTTCTGTGTGTGATTTTGACTAAATTTATTCCGAACGGCGCTCAAAATATTAGTAATTTGACACTTTGTTATTTGCGAACGCAACTCACACTGTGACCCTTACTCAATTTGCATAAGTAATACGAATGCTGTAGTTCAGAAAATCTATTGGTTAACTTTTGCTCGTGTCTGGGTGCGCAAAACAAAACTGCACATATAATTATCGCATAGCTGAATTTCTACAAATCAATTGGACCTTA